AGACAAAGAAAGATCAGAATTATAAAACTACTGGTAGTAAAAGGCCATACTAATGCAAACTCAAAGAAAATGAGACATTTGACATGTGTCAGAACTGCTGTAAAACAGAGACACCAGAACGGAGCCCCATTGTAATTTGAGGACTACTTACAATGGAAGATGGTATGGGGGAAAGGGTGAAATATATCTGAGGCCCAAAGATTATCTTGGCAGATGTTTGAGGAAGGGAGCTGGCCCATAGCTACCAAGTCTGGTGAAGGAATGAGGGTGTGCAATAAAAGGATTGGGACTGTAGAAATGTGACTACAAGGAAGAAAAAGCACCTTCAGTGCCTCAGAGCCCTGCCCCTCTATTGGTGACCAATTTGCAAAAGGATCAAACACAGGAAAATTCGGCCTCCCTCCCTACCCCACCTCCACTCCCAGCCTTGCATGTCCTGTCCCGGGATCCCCTCACACCCACCCTGGGCCAGGTTGAACCCTGAGAGATGGGAGAAAGAGCAACCAATCCAACGGGGGTGGGGGGGCGCGGTTCAGAATGGGCAGGTTTAGGTGACTGGCTGTGTGTATGATGACAGTGTTATAGTGTCCTTTTGGTTGCGTGTTCGTGTTTTATTAACATGCTACTCATCCCTTGACCATTGTTGCTTAGGGTTTGGAGTTAATATGTACGTACTCACTGCCATTAAGTAGATTTTGGACACATAGCGACCCTATAGGACAGGGTAGAACGCTGCTGTGGATTTCTGAGACTAACCCTTTATGGGAAGAGAGAGCCTCATCTTTATCCTGTGAACTAGCCGATGGATTTGTACTACTGACTGTGTGGTTAGCAGCTCAGTGTGTAGCTCACTGCGCCATCAGGGTGCCTGTTATTTCAAGAGTTATAGAAAAATATAGAAATGTAGTCACCTAGAAAGCTACCCGGGGTCAGCATGTCAGGAAGAAAATTCTATTTTTCTTACCAACAACAACAAAAAGATTGGAGTTATGGGAAACTCGTAAACTTGGCAATGACAAATTCAAGCCTATCAGTCAGTTAAGTGACTTTATTTTATCATTTGTTTTATTTGGGAGCTGTTGCAATTCGTCACTGAAAAGATATCACTCTCCATATTTTTAAAACAAAACAAAAAATACCATTAGGGCAAAGGACAAAAATTCAAGATTTTACCTTTTGACTTTAGCAAATATTTGCTGCTCCAATTTGGGGGCTGGAATCCACCATTTGATCTGTTTTTGTTTTGTACTTGGCCCCCTTTCCTTCCTAATGCCTGATCATATTAATTTCCCCAGGTCCATTTTTGATGCCTGTTCATTCATAAGTGTTTCTTAACATGTCAGTAATCCAGGCAAAATACACAAGGTATTTTTTCTTACCTTTTTATATGACCCATTTTGAAAATTTACATCCAGAAAAGGCTTATTATCAAAAGAGCTCCTTGGTATTTCCTTGGGGCCTGGTAGGGGGGCTGACTACTAATTATTCCCCCTTGTGTTAGTTTACACGTTGTGAAAGAGGGAGTCCTGGTGGTGTGGTGTAGTGGGTTACATGTTGGGTTGCTAACCACAAGGTCAGCAGTTCAAACTCACCATCTGCTCCATGGAAGAAAAATGAGGGTTTTTGCTCTCATAATCATTTACAGTCTCAGAGACCCACAGAAGCAAGTTTTCCTCTGTCCTTGCAGCATTGAAAATCGATGGAAATGAGAGTTATTTATTTCAAATAAATAAATCTCAGTTATTATATAACATAAAACCCAGCGATGGAGTAGGCTATGTCCAGAAGGGAAAATACCTTTTATTTAACTTATTTTATAGGTTTGAAAACCTACAGATTCAATATTTTAAAAGGGTTACACATATTCAAATTAGAAGTTAAAAGTAGCTTAAGACTCAACTTTAGTTAAAAAAAATAAGCGAACTCTCAAAATCTGTACGTTTATACTTAATATTCTGAAGGAGCTGTAACAAGCTGGGGAGAGCTAGACAACTTCCAACTTTAAATCTGTAGTGTATCCAGCAGACACCTTCCAAAAATATAACCAGTCTTTCCCCAAATTGGGTAACAATGAAACCTGTCTCCTTCCAAATTATGAAGAACCTTATGATTATATCACATAAAACCAGCAGAGGCAGTGAATTCTTTTAAAGTGGCTCTTCTAGCCAACGTCTCTAACTGCCACCCAAAGGACCTCTCCCTGCATGGATCTGGTTAAGAAGGTAGAGGACGATCCTGATAGGATTCACCTGTAAGTAAAAACCGGCTTCCTTGGAACTCCATCCTGCTGTGCCCTCTGAGAAGCAGGAGGAGGGACTTCATTACCACCAAGAGTCATGAGGAGAGTGCGCCCTCTGATCCCTGCGCATTGAACTTCCTGGATCCGGAAGACAGCTAGACGACCATCAGAGGAGCAGGAGCAGAACCAGGCATCAGAGCATGGAGCAGAGTGCAGGAGGCTGGCTTGTAGAGTGGGGTCCCTCTGTGCACTTGATTGGGGAAGCTGGGCTTGCTGGCCTGCGAAATTGGGACTGAGTGTATTCAAGCGGAGGTTTAGGGTACCTCTGGAGTTGGGCACTTAATTCAGGGAGCTGGATTTACCAACCCATGGAGCTTGAGCTGCATGCCTTTGGGGTAAGGCTTCCAGTGGAATGGTAGGCCCCTTTGGGCATATATTAGCACACCTGAAAGAATTTTGCAACATGTCCTGATAAACATATCCTGAGCATGTCTCGCTGGCATCACAACGTGTTCATTTCTTTAATAACCCCTTTAATTATGAATTTTTGTGAGTCTGTCTAGCCATTTTCTGTGGAGCCATTGAAATAAATGGCTATTGGAACCTAGAGGTACAATAGAGATCACCAAGACAACACAATTCTCCCACCTCAGTCACCCCAAGGGAGAAAGATGAGGCTTTCTGCTCTGCCCGTGAAGATTTACAGCCTCAGAAACCCCCAGGGGCAGCTCTCCTTTGCCCTTTGAGGTCAGTATGAATTGGAATCAACTCGATGGCAGTGGGTTTTGGGGTGGGGGGTGTTGCGTGAAAGACATTGTCTTCCTGACCTAGCTTCGATAGATACACTTGCAGTCCCTGCATTACAAATGAGATCCGTTCCTAAATATGTGTCTCTAAGTGGAATTTGTCCGGGGATCCAAACAAGTGCATACATTTCTTATTTAGCATGACTCCAGTGCTAAACAGCTTCTGAAAAAGCGCCAGGCCTTTTCAGCTATTTAAAGGCCACATGTGCAACAAGTGCAGGTGAGTGTGATGAAGAATTTGTTGCAAGTCGGGGAGCATAGTGGTTACCAGTTGGGCCGCTAACTACAAGGTCAGCAGTTTAAAACCAGCAGCTGCTCCTTGGGAGAAAGATCGGGCTTTCTACTCCCTTAAAGAGTTAGTCTTGGAAATCCACAGGGGCAGGTCTACCCTGTCCAATTATAACAGTGGTTCTCAACATGTGGGTCGCAATCCCTTTGGGGATCGAAAGACCCTTTCACAGGGGTCGCCCGTTTCATCACAGCAAAATGAGTGATGAGTAGCAACGAAAATAATATGATGGCTTGGGGGGGTCACCACCACATGAGGACCAGTCTGAAAGGGTCCCGGCCCGAGGAAGAGAATTATCGGGTCCCTACGAACTGGCATCAGGTGGATAGCAGCGAGTTTGGCTTGGTTTTAGAGGGTGGGTTCGATCATTTCAGAGTGGGGCAAATGTATAAAGGACAAGTAGGCGTTGTCTGTGAAATGTCCCGAACCAGAGACTTAACTGTCCTTTGCTCCCTTTTTACCCAATGTCTTTGGCTGCTATTCTGTCTCTGTTCTTTGGCTTGTGCAATATTGTCAACACAATTTGTATTATTTCTGCTCAACCACACTATACACTGCAAATTTAAAACAGTATACACCAATATGTGTCCTCATCTTCTCCGTCACAACTCCAGCTAACGTTTATTGCCAGATAAACTAGTAAGGTGATAAAGTGAAACAGATAGCAGTTAAAACCCTCATGGTAAAATTGAGTGGGTTATTTTGTGGGGTATTTTTGACAGTGAAACTGTGGACTATGGAATAGACGGCTACTCTGGCAGGAACCTCTGTGGAAGCCAAATTTGAAAGCTTTGTCTGTTCAGCCTTTGGGCTTTTCTCGCTTCTGCCCTCTAGAGGTGTAGGGGAACATGAAATGGAAGAACTTTGAACAGGATGAGCCAGAGTCTTGGTCCTGGGACAAGCCCCCTGCCCCATCTCTCTTTGTAGTCCCCCAAAACCTGAATGTGCAGAGATAGGAGCAGGCAGAGAGCAGGTGAGCAAGGTATCTGCAGGATAGGGGTTTCAGAAAGGAAACTCTTCTGGTTGTTCCCATGGAGGCCAGTACATATCATGTCCATTTCCAGGAAACCGCAATTTCAGACAAGTGAGTGAAATGAAACAGCAAATTAAGGCTAGATTCAGGGTATATGTTAACTGGGCACCAAGCATTTGACACTGCATATGAGGGGGGTTTCAAAAATTGGGGACTGGAAGTGAAAGAATAGAATTTGCCACAAATGTTTTCAAGCCCCCTCATAGCAAGTCATAATACTAAGTTTGAATACATGCTATAGTAGTGATCATTACATATCTAATCAATAGTGAGTACCTTTAACGGGCTACCATACTTTTGAGACAGAACAGCTAATATTGTCCCTCACCAGCATTTAAAAATTACTCAAGACTTAAACATTTTATACAAAATAGTGAAATCACCATGTTCTGAATAATATCCTTTAAATGTTTTCAGTTTTACTTCAGAACCCCGTGTACAAAGCTAAAGAGCCCAAGATGGCTCAGGAGCTACATTTTGCCTGGCCCTGGCAAGACAGGGCTCATTGCTTCCCATACTGTTTGCCTGCTTGATACGTTGCCACGGCAACTCAATGAGGTCACACCATTATGATGTTCACAGAGGCTGTGCAGCTGATATAAGCTGCAGCCAACTTTTGAACCCAGCAGTTGCCTCTGGCAGCCAAGCTGTTGACAACAGTGGTATACTTCCACCTTACCACAGGTGCCTGAAGAAGAGATACCATCTAGAAACAGTGAGTGCCATGTAAATGAGGTGTGGGTGGTGGGAGAGGGGACTCATTAAACCCTTTTGTATGGACACACCAGGCTGAAAAGCTGGCAGATAGAATTTAAGACTTTGTCTCTGCCACTAAGAGACAACCTCCTGTTGGACAAACACATCCACACACACACAAACTGTATATGTTCCTAGAATGTGAAAATCCTTGGTACTTCAGTATGGGTACAGAGGGGGCTAAGGAGGTGTTTCTTTGGATGTAATCCCTTTCAGCCATTGAAATTTTCCCTCTTCTGAGCCTTTGGCCTGGCAGGCAAGAGCTCTGCTCCTATAGGCAACAGATTTGTCTAATTTGAGTGGGAGAAGATGTCTTCAGGGATTAAGACCTTTAAACCAGGGGCAGTAAAGCATAGATGAAGCACACAATATTCCTCGGGTTCTTTGAGGCTTCCTAAACCACCACCACCCCGAACTATCATGACCCCAGTCCTACCTTTTACAGGGGGCTAGACCGCAGCATTGGCATAGGTACAGATAAGAGATAAGAGCTCAGGGCACACCAATCCAGGAATAGAAATGGGAGTAGTGATACCAGAAGGGTAGAGGGAAGGTGGAGAGTGAAGGGAAGGGGGAACCTATGGCAATGATCGACACAAAACCATACTCCCCCTCCAGGGGGATGAACTACAGACACCGTGGGGGAAGGGAGACATTGGTCGGTGTAAGATATGAAAATATAATTTATCAAGGGGTCAAGAGGTGGGGGGAACTGATACTAAGGGTTCCATAGAAAGTAAATGTCTAGAAAATGATGGCAAAATATGTACAAATGTACCTGATACGATTGATGCATGGATTGTGATGAGTTGTAAGAGCCCCCAATAAAATGATCTTTTAATTAAAAAAGAAAGACCTGTAAGCCATGAAACTATTAGAGAGCTACTCATTTCCAGGATTCTTTTGATCTCGAACCACCAGCTGTGTGATGATTGGTCTGAGAGCAATTGTCCCCAGTGGGGTACAACTTGGTCACATCCCAAATGGTGTGTGCCCTGCTATGTCCCATGGTTACTTCCTGAGAGCCTCATGGGTGTCAGGACCCATTCTAGGTGTAGGGCTGGAGCAGCAGCTATCAGCAAAGGGGCCTGCTCTTAGGGAGCTGTCTTTTCCTCAGAGTTCATTGGCTTGTGCCTAAGTGCCTTGATGTAAACTCTGTAGGGTATCACACCATTATGATGTTCCCAGAGGGCTGTGCAGCTGATATAAGCTGCAGCCAGCTTTTGAACCCAGCAGTTGCCTCTGGCAGCCAAGCTGTTGACAACTGTGGTATACTTCCACCTTACCACAGGTGCCTGTAGGAGAGATACCATCTGGAAACAGTGAGTGCCATGTAAATGAGGTGTGGGTGGTGGAAGAGGGGACTCATTAAACCCTTTTGTATGGACACACCAGGCTGAAAAGCTGGCAGATAGAATTTAAGACTTTGTCTCTGCCACTAAGAGACAACCTCCTGTTGGACAAACACATCCACACACACACAAACTGTATATGTTCCTAGAATGTGAAAATCCTTGGTACTTCAGTATGGGTACAGAGGGGACTAAGGAGGTGTTTCTTTGGATGTAACCCCTTTCAGCCAATGATATTTTCCCTCTTCTGAGCCTTTGGCCTGGCGGGCAAGAGCTCTGCTCCTATAGGCAACAGATTTGTCTAATTTGAGTGGGAGAAGATTTGCTTCAATGATTAAGACCTTGAAGCCAGGGTGCAGTAAAGCACTGATTAAACACACTATTCCTCTGGTTCCTTGAGACTTCCTCACCACCCCCACCAGCCACTATCATGACCCCAGTCCTGCCTTTCACAGGGGGCTAGACAGGAGCATTCGCACATGTACAGATAGAGATAAGAGCTATGGTCTTCATTTAAGGTGACCAGATTTAAAGCGGGACACCACTGACAGGGGGTGGGGTTCTTGATTAAAAATTTGGTCTATATGGACCAAATAGACCGTTCCCTAGCTTGTCGTGCATTCTTTCCAAAAATCGGGACTTTTTAAAAACACCGAAATCGGGACTGTCCTGCCAAAAGCGGGACATCTGGTCGTCTTATCTTCATTCCTCTCTCCTAAACTCCAGCTCGTTCTTCTGGAGTAACTAAGGTGGGAGTGTTGCCATGGTGGTCGGGCTATGGGGAGGCCACGTGAGGGAAGCATAGCATGTGGCAGTCTGATTTGTGTCCATGATGGGAAAGCACAGAGCGCACCTGTTTCCCAGTGATGCCGAACCATCTGCACTGGGTGAGGTCTCACTAGCCTGCATCCTAATCCTGTTGGTGATTGGAGATAACTTCAGTGGTCACCAGGCACCTTGTCTCCATGGCAACCCCTCTAAATATGCCTATGGTGACTTGCACTCTACATTCTGTCCGGATCTGAGCCCTCCTGTGGCAAAATATTCTAAAGATGTTAAAACAGGAAAGAAAGTGGCAGGGGCCACGGGGGGGGGGGGGGCAAGAAACTCAACTAATAAATCTATTCTAAATGACTGAGTCATTTGTTTTGATTACCCAGGTGATTGCCAAATGTTAATTTAAAGCCGAAATAGGCCATGAGCTCAGTCCTCTAACAATGCTGAGTGTTTGAGCTAATCCTGCCTGATAATGAGGGAGCCAGCTCCACTGCCGGTGCTCATGTTATATGATAAACAGACACGTGGAGAAATAGGCAGCCAATCTTGGCAGTTTCCTTTCCCTTGAAGGGGGTGTCAGTACAAAGGTGAATGTGTTACGTGAGCCATTTCAAAGAAACGTGACCTTTTTCTTTGGGGATCTCCAACTTTTCTTCTGAAAAGGTAACTTGTCCTCTTGATTCTCATTTTTTCCTAACTTAGACACATTGGAACTAATTCTCAACAACTGCATCCAGCCCTCGCTGAATCCACCCCATTTTCCACTCATCTCGTGTGTGGTAAGTTTGACGAATTGCCCCAGATTCCTCAGCTGTTTTCCAGCCTTCCAGTGGGAGATGGCCTTGTAGGAAGAGCTGAACTCGTCCAGCAGCTTTCAGAGGATTTGTTTTTCATGGACCCAACCGATAGCGTGGCTTACCCTCCGTGTTAGCTTTATGGGGAGTGCCTTGTGCAGGGAGAATCCCACAGGCTTTCAACTTGGGGGCATGGAAGTGATGATGTCCAAACTCATAGGGCCACTTTAAACACAGATTGGTTTATGCCCCGGTGTGGACAGTAGGGTGCAGAAAAGCTGCACGGAGCAGATGCTGGATGGAGAGGCAGGCAAGACCTGCTGACAACTGGGAGGAGATTGAGTTGAGTTCTTTGTTGGGAATCTTTATGCCATGGGGTCTAAGGAGTTGAAGGGAGGGACCCCCCACAGCAAAATCTAGTGGCAGGAATGCCAAAGAATTGTGCTTCAGTGTTAAGGGCCTGCAAACCTTTTTCAAATGTGTACTGAAGTTCAGAGCAGTCCCGCTACACTGGGGTGAGCAGCCAGCTTGACCAAACCTTTCTTTGCGCGTCTGTGGGCTAGGCATCCTCTGTCCTCTTCCTTCACCTGTGGTGGCACAGATGATCTGGGGCCTCATGCGAGACCTGGGACATTCACCTTTGAAAAGAATGAAACAAGGGAAGATTTGTTTAAGACAATTAGGAATGGCTCCTACTTTTGATAATCCTTATGCCTTTACAAGGGAACGCTGGTTGCCAGCTCTCACCTGTTGCCTTCTTGTTGATTGTAACTCCTAGGAGCCCTGAGGGTGTTATGGGTTAGGAATAGGGGCTGTGAGCCTCAAATTCGACAGTTCTAACCCATCAGCAACATGAAGGAGAAAGATCCAGCTGTCTGCTCCCATAAAGGCCTACAGTCAGAAGAACCCAAAGGGGACAGTTCTGTTCTGCCCTGTAGGGTTTCTATGAGTTAAAATGGACTCAATGGCAGGGAGTTTGTTTGTGTGACCCTGTAGGATAGGTTAGAACTGCCCCCAGAGACTTTCCAAAGCTGTAATTTGTACAGAAGCAGCCTTTCCTAACTTTTTTTCTCAAAGCAGCTGGTGGATTTCAACCACTGACATTTCAATCCGCATCTAAATGTTTAACCATGGCACCACCAGGCTCCTTGCCAGCATTATACCAGTCAGGATTTCCAGCTTTGTCCATCAAAAGGTGTCTTTTATTTTGCTTTTACTCTCTGCACCACCACCACTCCTCACACACACACACACCCTGCCAATCACATTCAGACTGGTTATTTGCTGTCCAGTTTGCTTTGCCTCCTGGCAACCCCACATATACAACAGAGGAAAACAGTCCAAGCTTCTGCCATCTTCCCAGTCGTTGGGATGTTTGCGTCCATTGTTGCAGCCACTGTGTATTTTGAGTGCCTTCCAACCTCTAGAGAACCTCTTATGCAGTTGATTGGACAACAGTTTGCATTCAGTCTACCCGTAGCACAGCCATCGAGTGGATTCTGACTTAGCCACCCTAGAGGACAGAATAGAATTGCCCTGTAGATTTTCCAAGGCTGTCCCCTTTATGGGATCAGACTGCCTCATCTTTCTCCCAAGGGACAACTGGGGAGTTCAAGCTGTCAACTCTTGGGATTAGCAGCTGAGCGCCACCAGGATACCTGCTTTCAGTTTAAGTCATGATTCCCAAAGTAGGCAGTACCGCCCCTTGGGGAACATGGACAATCCAGGGAGGCTACAAAAGCAGGTGCCTACACTTTATCTTGGATTATGGACTATGGTACCAAAGTTTCCAATTGCCATGGAGGGGTGTGGTAGGGTGCTGAGTCTTCTTTTTTTCCTGAAAAGGGGATGGTAGACCAAATTGGTTTGGAAACCTGTGGTTTAAGTACTTACATTTCCATTAGGGTTCATGGTCGCTGAGTGCATTGTTGCCTTTGTTACATGTACTTTTGTAGTCTTTGCCACTGATCCTAAAACATATATGAGTGTGTTCAAAGAGCTAACTATTTTAAGCCTTAAAGAGTAAAAAGAACAGGATACATTTTTTAGGATTATTTTTTCTGAATGGTATCATTTTCATCAATTATAGAGGTAGAAGTTCTTTCCAAGGTCTAGAGGGGAATAGGTGTTAAACTACTCTGGTAGGAAAAGCTTTAGCTGCCAGAGATGAAGTCATCCTTTTTGGATCTAGAACCCGTCATAGTGATCATTCCACAACCTTTATCTAAAACAGTTGGCTTCAGAATGTTTTAATGGTTGAAACTTACCTTGAGATGAAAACTTGGATCCGGCCCCAATAAACAACCAAAGCAGAACTGTTGATTCTCAATTGGTTGGCTGTGGCTGTGTAGTTGCCCTGCTCTGAGGAGCCCCAAGGCAGTTTGAAAGCACATCCAGGTGTAGTCTCCAGGGGAAGAATGCCCCAACTTAGAGACCACTCTTACTTGCCCTTGCATTCTATGTAAATTGACCCACACTGTAAAACTATTGAACCAGCATGTACCCAACCTACCTACCTACCAACCAACCAACCCTCGCTACCTTCAAGTCGATTCCCACTCATAGCAAGCCTAGAGGGCAGATAGCACTCCCCCATAGCATTTCCAAGGTTGTAAATCTTTGTCAAAATGGACTGCCTCAACTTTCTTCAGAGAGCAGCTGGTAGGACTGAACTACCGAAACACCCCACCCTTTGGTTAGAAGCCACATGCTTAATCCACTGTGCCACCAGGGCTCCTTGAACCAACTCCTAGTCTCAACAACTTCATCACGATCGTCTACCTTTTCTAGCATTAAAATAAGGCTAAATAAGAACCATATACACCTGTCCTGACTTACTCAGCTGAATCTTTTTTGTTGTATCTTTTTTCTTTTTTAACTCTGTACTGTGAATTGTGCAGGGAGTTTAATTATGCGATCATCATTATTGCAGTCAACAACCAAAACAGCAACCTTCCTCATGGCTTGTCCTATTTCTGCCCCTTCTTTTTCTCCATCTCTCTTTTTGAGAATATTGTCTTCCCCTTCCAACCATTTTTTTAAAACCACTTCTTAAGAGATGCAGGAATGGATCACATTTATCACTGAGGGATCTCCTTTATCTCCTAGGAACCTCCTTAATGCATCAACCATTTTTAATTTGTTCTGCCCTTTCAGAGACAGTCTTGCGATTTTTCTAGTCACAGAAAAAAACCCAACTAGATCAGTTAAGCTAAAAAGAAGGGTGAAGCATCCTTCCATCAACTTATTTGGAAATACTGGCTGGGCAAAATTTGAAATTTGCATTTCATTGTTTGCCCTTTGTAATTCCACAGCAACCTGCAACTTTGACAAACTTCATCTGAAGAAAAGTTCATTAGAAACTGTGAGTATAAGGTTCTGTGCTTAAAATGGGATATTTAAATGGAAATTTTCCAAACACAAAGTCGTTTTATGGTATCACAGATACCTCAATAACATCTTTCTTTTTTTCTTTTTTTTTTTCATCTTTCATTTGACCAACACTTAGTGACTTCGGATTTTCTCTTAGAGCAAATGAGTTTCTCAGGTGAGTAAATCGAAACAGAATCTGTTGGATTTATAGAAACGGCCTCAACAGTAAATAGGTATTTGTACCTTGTGATCTTTTATTTATTCTTTTAGCCTTACTAGGTGTCGGGCTAGGAACAGGGTAGTAAGCAAGATAGAAGGAATGATGAGCTCATCTTCATCCCTTTCGCACATGAAGAAACTGACACTGATGTTACTTTTTTTTTTTAAGTCACTTGCCCAGTATCGAGTAGACCAGTGTGATCTCCGGTAAACAGTCCAAAGTCCCCAGCTAATCAATTTGGATCTGATTTATTCCCCCTCCATGTAAGCATTACCCCTCCATGATTGAACTATTGAGTTATTATATGCCAATAAAACTGTTAAAATAAAACATGAGGCAGTTGCTGGGGAGACAGCTGTGTACCTGAAACCTGAGTGTCCCCAAGATGAAATATTTATTTTACTTTCCTTTTAAAATGTCTTTGGAATAATCGAACAGTTTAGGAAAATTAATTTTCAGATTCCACCTGGGGATCTTTTAGGTTATTAAAATGCTAATGTGTCTCGATTTATGTTTAATACAGCATTGATTGTAACTCAACTTCATCATGAGAGTGCTAGAACTTATTCCATCAGGTAACCTTTGAGTTACAGAATTATGTGGAATGAAAACTGGTAACACGTGTAATTCTTAACACCTACATGAACTGGACTGAATATGAGTACTCTGTGTATTTGTAACAGCAGATTCGATGTTGTTCATTAATTGGGCATGTATTTCACATCTCAGAAATATTTGTACCCCTGACATATGGTCATTTTCATTGCTTTGGCAGTCTTTTAATATTCACAAGACTCAGAATTCTTGAATAAGTAGTCATAATGATTTGATTGGGACCAATGCTGTTGATGTGACTTCTCTTCTTAGTGCACAGATGCGTTTCAAACAGGCCTAAAGAGTTTGGAAACTGTCACTCTAGAGCCAACTGGCCTGTATCTGGCCCTCAGAGGTGGTCTTTGTCAACTGTAAGTGAATTGCCAGCATTTCAAAATGGAGAGAGTGCACATTTTAAAGATGCAGATTTTTCCGTTGCTTTTAAAATACCAGAAGATCTGGCAACATTGAGCCTGCATTCCTGTTTGGCAACACTAGGCTGGAGCCAAATAGCTGCTGCATCTTTGGGTGCAGTTTGCCACACTTTCCACTCCTCTTGCTAGCTCCTTGACACTTAAGGCCACTCCTTACAAGACCTGTTTGACTCTGGGAGGCATGTGAATCATCAACCCCAAGTCTAGATGAAATGGAGGCCACAAACTTCAGGGCCACACTTTCTCTCAGAATAGTAGCTTGCTGATTTTCAGGTGCCTGGTTTTAGGTGACGTTCCTTTTAGTGGAGGGTTGAGGGAGAGCATTTGAAGAGAGGGACTCTTTCTGGCGGTCCTTGAGTAGGCAGAGCATTATCAGCAGAGTGTAGGTGTTGTGTCTTCACCTGAAGGGTTCCCGTGATCTACTTCAGTGCACCCCAAACTATAATGTGTCAGTTCTGAGAAGCTCTAGGGTCGAGTCTGAGATACTCTGTTTCTTACTCTCATCCAGTTGACACTGCTGCTGGTCCATGAACCTCCCGCTCTGAGGTGCAGTCACGCAGTGATGCTCCTAGAGACCTTTTCCTTTGGCTCGAGAAACAGGAGACCTTAGCCAGGCGATTCTGTGTTGACTCTCCAGAGATAACCCTGGGTGCACATCTACTTGCAGCAGAATAGAGTACTACAGCATAGCCTATGTGAAGCATAAACTGAACTTTGGTTGAAAAGACTTTAAATCAGGTGTTTCTAGGAACCAAAGTAGGTATGGTTAAAGCTCATTCATGAGAAAGATTCTTGAGCTTTCCATTTGATAGTTACAGGAGAATATACTTTGAACGTTCAAACAAAACTTGCAAAAAGGTGAATCAATCCAATTTCAGCATATCGGAGACTCTTGTAAACTGAAATGTTGGGGCAGGGTGTGGTCCAAAAGAAAGACATCAACAGAGTCAAATCTGTAGATCTCTGTAATGAAAAATCCCAATTCAAAGGAAAACACGCTAGGCCAAATTTTGCAGCATGTGTGACCAGATAATTTCATCTAGAAAGGCAGGCGCAAGGCCTGGGCCTGGGGGAGGCCCCATAACTGTTGAACACATGGATTCTCAAGTAAAGAGCTGGGTAAATGACATGTACATTATTTCACAAAGAAAACGGGTCAGCTTCACTGACACCCAAAGGCAAGCATATTCAAACAGCAACAAGGTACATTTTCCCCCAATTCAATCTGAAAAAACAAAACAAAAAGAAAATGCAGTGCTTAATATAGTTACTCCAAAACTGAGAGGCACTTATCACTGGTAAGTTTGCAGGTTGGAACCGAGCCTTTTGGAAAGTGATTTGGCAAGGCATAGCAAAAGTCACAAAGATTGGTACCCTTTGATCCAGTAATGCTGCTTTGGGAAATGTGTTCTAAGAGCCACATTTCTGAGAAACAAATTAGTTTAAGAAAAGAAGGGGAAAGTTCTGGGTGGCAAGGTTTTCTCACAGTCTAGTAAGAACAATAACAATGAGATGCCCGACATTAGAGAAATGGCCATTTTAGCCACTCAACAAAAACATTTGGTTAGGTAAATTATAGTACATCTATGCAGTATAAAAGCAGCCCTGGTGACGCAAAGGTTAAGTGCTCTACTGTTAACCAAAAGATCAGTGTTCGAACTCACCAGTCACCCTGTGAGAGAAGAGGCCTGCCGACTTACTCCTGTAACGATTCCAACCTTGGAAGCTTATTGGGCAAGTCCACTCTGTCAGATAAGGTGGCTAGGACTTGGAATCCACGTGATGGTACAGCGCACGAAAAATGCATGATAATTCCATGAATCTGTTTGAAATGGATACATTTATTTGTTTGACTAGCAATATGAAAGATTGTACTAGATAATCTTAGTGAGATTGTATATATGTTGTAATAACCATGTAAAGGAATATGTGCATCTGGACAAGCACTGAAGGCACACGGAAGAATGTAAGTAATGCAATATTTGTCGTTTTGTTCATGCTGTTGTAATGCTGTTTGCACATTGTCCCGTACATGTATATTCTCTTAGAAGTTGACAACCGTCACCTTTTACCAAAATAAATGGAGTCCAGACAGGAAGCAGTAGAATTCCCATTTATGCACAAACTCATGCATGGTGGAGGCTTCTGGCCAGATTCCAAACATGGAGTTCCAATGACCTAGTTCCTTCTGGCTGGTTTGGTTCTTTCATCCCAAGCCCCCATTTCCCTTCCTTCTTCTGTCTTCTGTGGTTGGGAGACAGACATCTTGGTGCCCCACATTAAAAAGTATAAGCATTTGTTTCGGAGCTTGTAATTAATGTGTAGCGTTGCCAGGGAATGAATCTTCATGTCTAAAGGTCTAGTGAGTTACGTCTAATTCTGAAATGCAGCTGTCCTTCAAGGGCAATGCTCGTGTCCAGTTTGCTTCTTTGATTTAGACAAGAAGCAAAAACTCATTTTCATAGTGTGAACCTTCTTGTGGTATCTCCTCCCCACCCCCATTGTATGCTTTGTTCCAAAGCTACTTGTTTCCTTGCTGTAAGTATACTTTTCTCTCTTAATTAGGTCAGTTACTTCATGTCTGTTTTTCTTTTTTGACATGGTTTCCTCTGGCTTTAGCACCACATATTTTCCCCACATGTCATTGCCTCATGTTGCAATCGGTTTTCAAGGGGGAACAGAGAGCACATTACTAAAGGGGGGTAGCTCTTGGGGCTTTTGCCTGCTCTTTGCCTAAATGAGCTTTCATATTTCTTTTGGGCCTAGTTCTGTTTGGTTTTGTAGATTTCATAGTCAGTTATGTTTGGACTAAAAGATCCTTAAGTAAAAATAATGGTAAGTCAAGAGATATGCCTGGCAACAGTGCAGCACATTTGTTGAAATTGCTGGTTTATTTATCTCCCCTGTCTCTATGGTGACTAAATCCAGGGCTAAGATTTAATGGGACTTCATTTTGACCTTTTGTACATCTCCCGACTTTTCCCAGCCTCTGATAGAGAAGGAATTCGTTTTTGCTTCAGAAGAGAGGGCTGTCTCCCTGAGGAAAAGGGTCCTTCCTAACTGGCCTCTTGAAAAGTGGAATCTCTGACTTGGAGCTGGAATCCTGAACCTAGTGTCTTGCGCTTCTTACGCAGTCTTCAGTCAGAACGCACAGGGCAGCTGGATGAAACACCAAGACCATCTTGTTAGCTAAGATGCACACAACCTTATTAATATCCTAAGGGAATAGTTTTCTTTTCAAAGAAATTAAGTATTATGTAGTCAGTGTGAACTGTGCCCGAGGACTTTTTGCAGAGAACCTTCTGTGAGCATATCAAATCAGTGGGACCATTGACTGGACTTTGTTTTTGGTTTTTTGTAGCCCCTTTATCTATTGTAGGTTGATAAGTTTGCATACATATCAATGCATATTTCCATTTAAGTGTGGCATATTATTGTCAGGGCAATAAGGTTTCATTCTGATTAGGATTCCCATGGAGGAAGTCAGTGTTTGGACATTGGGCTTCAAGTCTAGTGTTCCATCTATAGCCAATTGACGTGAAGGAAGGCCCAGGTATCTGATATCTAAGGCAGCTCAAGTCAAACTCTCTTGGACTTCAGTTCAAATCACTGTTTTGAACTTTTGTATGCTCTCTATAAAGGCATTAACTGAATTAACAGTTTCCTAGGGGCATGGCAGGGGAGGTTTGGGGGCAATGGGGAGTTAACAACAGTGAGTACATGAAAAAAAGAAATGTCCTAAAGTGGATGGTGGTGATGGTTGTACAACTTTTAAAACTGATTGAACAGTGAAATGCTTGATATATGAATTATGTCCATACAACTATTAGAACAAAAATAATATTGTGCTTTGAGATTTTTGCAGATATTGCACTTTGGGGTTATGTAATAAGTTATCCACAAGCGAATCAGTGTTTTATCTTATTT